TAGAATATTATTCTAAGTTATTTACAGTTTTACTTTTATTCATTGTTATTTTTGTTGGTTCATTTCATTGATTTTGTTGACTGATTCCATTCTGTTAGCAGCTTGACCTTTTCTTACGGGTAGAGGGTAGTTAGTTTCCTTTTTTCTAGCTTAGTGGGGAATATGGATGTTAGCAGCAGCTCCTGCGTGAGCAATACCCTTTCTGCTGCCTATTTATATATGTCTTTTCCTTAATGAATGGTAGAGAATTAAAACCCAAACACAACTCCCTTCCAATCTTGCACAAAGGTTGCGTCAACCAGCTTTCCTGTTGGCAAATTATCTACTTTAATCTCATTGCTGGAGTGTGTATCGGCTCGAAGCGATACCCGTTAAGTCATATCTTAACATACTCCTAAATACACAAAAAGTTAAGTAAACACTTAAGCATATTGAAAAAAAAGTTAGCATATTTCAATTTCATCACCCCACCGAGCACCCACCCCTCAACACAGCACACTGCAAAGGTGAGGTTCCTCAATGAACACTAGAAACCAGGACTTATAGTCACCTACCTCTTCAAAGGGCATACGAATTGAATTGGGCTGGAAATTAACAGCAAAACACTTGCAAGACTCAAGAAAACTAGAAAGTAAACACTTGAAATTGACCACATAAGAAAAAACCCTAATTGCATAAAGCTAACCCTAGCAAAAAGAAGTCATGTACCACTAAAGAGAACCTGAAAAATTAAAAGAATAAAGAAAAAATCATCTAGAAAAAGAAAGATTACCATGTGAGGAAACTTGTCCTGGTCAACAACCCTAGTATTCTCAAGTTTTATGTTGAGGTATTGGTCGACAGAGTGAAGTGTGCCCCTTATGGCCAAATCGTTCTTCAGTTCCACAGTCACTTCTCTCCCTACCAAATCTTTGAAGTATGAAAAGAACAACTGCAGCCCAGAAAAATCACAATAAGCACTAATCCTAATAAGAAAGCAACCAACCTGAATAACCAACTCTTGATAGGGTAAGGAAGGACATACCATTTTCTTCTTGAGAAATCCTACACTGCTCTCTTCAAGATTTTGGAGCAGTTTGGTGGAGGAAAGGAGATATAAAAATGCCGCCCTTTCAGACCTTTTATATATTGCTATAGTGTAGCACTAATTTCCTGATGTGACGTCTACACAGGATGGAATATGTTGGTTACAGACAAGGAAAAACAAGAGTTCATAAAAGAAACTGAAAAGATTTATATGGTTACCTTTTATATTTTCACAATTACAAACCGAAAATATATTTATTCCCGATTCCACTAGTTTTTTCAAATTTAGTGATGAAAGTGTAGGGGTGGCAGGTTGAAATTGAATAGCATACTAAACTGCAAAAGTTGAAACCAACACCGTATAATATAACAAAATTTTAATTAAAGGAACATTCTGTTACTGAACAGAGAATTTTGGTAGAGAATTTCAATATACTCTATCCTGAAATTTTGGTATGGAAAATGCACATACCCTACCAATATTTTGTCATCAAAGAAGGTATTTTTCATACTTTCATAATCAGTTACTGAACTTACACTAAAATTTTATGGAGACAATAACAAATATAATACATCACAAGAACTCATATCCAATCTAAAAATTCGAAATCACAAGTTAGAGTAGAAGTGGGGACAATTAAAAAAGGCACAAAATCATCACATCCACCTGCCAGTTTGTGCAAGCACACCAGCAAGAATGCAATTTAGTCAGTGTAGTTTCAGCACTGAAATTGTGAATAACAAAGCTGCCCACAAATATGTATCACAATAATATCAAGGTAGTCAGAATATGTACAGTTACAATGTAAAGGTTTTAGACTTTTAGATACACAAAAACAAACTAAGTAAATATCGCAAGAGTAGGGTGTGTATACACATACCTTACTTATCTATACTTGAAGTAGAGAGGCCACTTTTAGATATATATATAAAAATATAATTTTTAAAAAATTGAACAGTTCTTTTTTACAATAGTTTTAACAGCACTTCATACTCTGAATTGAAAACTTTTATGGACACATGGCTCAGATAGATTCTAATTGTTTTCCTGCTCTAAAGTGTGTCATCTTTCTATAACCCCTTATAAACCAACCTATGTACCACATGGCCGGTCCTAAACAACAACAACCCAGTTGAATCCCACTACAGTAGGATCTAGGGAGGGTGTGTGTCCGTAGACCTTGCCCCTACTCGGAAGTAGGGAGGCTGTTTCCAAGAGACCCCCGGCTCCAACTGCACAAAAAATATAATAAGAATCACAGTATAACACAGATAAAGCACCAAATACAATAGAATGAAAGTCCTACAAGCAATAGCAAAAATTTCTAACCAAACAAAGCACACTACAAAAAACCCCTGACTTGCTACTCTAATCCTAGTTCTCCAACGGTTACTATCTAAAGTCATATCCCCTGTCAGGGTGAGAAGTCCTAAATCCTCCCTTATCACCTCCTTCCATTTCTTCCTAGGTCTACCCCTTCCCCTACTTCTCCCAACAACCATAATCCTCTCGCATCTCCGTACAGGAGCGTCAGCATTCTGCCGTCTCACATGACCGACCGTAAAATGAGAGAAATAAAAAAACCTTTATTTTATGCCATATATTGTTTTGAGTGGAGTAGTTTTGCACTTTTGTTTTCAAATAGTGAGAATTGTGAAAACTACAAATATTAGGTCATACAAAATTGGAGACTACGTGTTGTGTGCGCACACAAGCTTGCACACCCTACCAAAAAGTAAAGAGCAATAACCAACATGGAGAAATACCTAACTAGAAATAAAACATACTTCATATACCAAACCAAAATAAGACCATTAATTTAATACTATCTATGTTTTCGATAACACTTCCTTTCTCATTTTTTTCTATCACCAAAAGACTTCCACTCTATTAAAAACTCATTTTTACCGCTACTAATTCTTACCCTACCTATTATATCATACGTTTTTATTAATCATCTATCCATCATATCAATGGAGAAATTGGAAACTCACCTACAAATCATAGATATTAATGGCGAGTGGCAAAGGGCGGGCGAGAGGACCATTTTTATGGCGAATGGCGTGGCAAGAGGCGGGAGGGCGAGCGAGAGGACCTTTATTATGGCAAAAGGCTTGGCAACATACATACATACATACATACATACATACATACATACATACAT